CTTGCGTGGAGAAATCGTTTTTTAGCGGGACGCATTTCTAGATTTGATGTTTACTTCCTCGGATTAAGTTGATCGTCAATAGTGTGTATATTTGCATTTGTAACGAATATATATGAACTGTGGCATTTGATGTTCCTTATTGTTTCCAACAAGTTTATATTTTCATTGCCACAATTGTGTACTTAGAATTCCAAATCTTGCGTTATTTTTTCACTATTATCAATCAAGTTGAAATTATTTGCAATCCAGTCTGTGAGCTGATTCACTGTCAATACAGCAATTAGCTGGTGAATGTACTTTCGTGTGTACATAGAATTTACCAGCAATGACACTACAAGTCTCTTTTCTTCGAAAACAAACACGCATTTTCCTGATCGTTCAGTTTCCTGTTTTTCTTAGAAATCTCGATACTTATTCGCGTAGCGTTTCATTTCCTGTGTCTATAATTGGTTCTTTATCAGGTAATGTACGGAAATGGGGGTTTAAATATACAGGTTTCAAGCCGCTTCTCCTTTTCCGTGCCTCCTCTGAGGATTTGCCAGTCGTTAGAAAAGATCCAAAATATCGGTAAAATGCTAAAATATCGATGTTTTAACCACCGCACGTTATGTCCTCGTCTTAAACTGTATCCAGTGAGTCACGTGGTCACCGTTACCGACTTATCTGAATGCATAGCCCACTTGTGTGTATACTGGCCTAGTATTCAGTTATCAGTGGCAGACTCCGGCCACTTGGTGTCATATGTGTTTGTGGTGGCTGCACTGAACTGAGATATCTAATTTGCAAACTATGTTCCTGTCCTTTGAAGAAATCGTAGTCAGGGCCAGTGCCGTTTGCATGCTGCTAAGTACAGTGGTGAAATCAGGTAAGCAAATGTTATAACTAATATACACTGCTCACAAGATAGATGTGTAGCATTCCTTGTCAATCAAGGCCTATTTGTTTTTACAGTTTTCAATTGTTATGTTTTCAGTCCGTAAAGATTAAAATAACAGCTTTTTCATTCATCAGTTGCACGCTTAGTTATCTAATTTTGAAATGTATAAGGTTGTGAAAGTCTTCGTGACATTTGAGACAATTTACGCAGTTGGCTGTAAGCGATGCTTCAGAAAGTATCCACTAAGGACCTGGTTCATAATGTAGGAAAGATCAGAGTTCCTATACAACAGCACGCTCAGGGCATATACGTCGTTTATAAGTTATATACACAGCACGTGTAATTTCTGTGATGGTCTGTAAAATGGCATCATTCTCAGTCATGTGACGGGTAAAAATGCAATGAATTTGACTTTGAAATTAAAAAGAACGAATGCATGGCTACCCCAACGGCCTTGGTTACCTTTGACACGTGTACTACATTTACCTGGGCACAATGTAAATGTTTTTCCTATATCAATACTTTGTTAAAAATTTTACTTCCACATTCAAATCCCTTTGAATTATCACACTGACTTATGTCGCTAATAAGTGACCCAGAGAGAAAGAGATACTCGAAGTCGTCCCACTATAAACGGTAAGCTGTTGGAGACGCTAGCATTTGTGAAAAATGCTGCTTCCAGTGTTTATGATAGGCTAGTACAGGCTAGAAGGGTCGTCTGATACAGCCAGGGTAGCACCCCATTTGTGTCATTCCACACATTTTACTAGATTTTTAGCGCCCTGGTCCAACATTTATTGTGTCACGTACCGTCTGCATACAGTTATCATGTCCTTTGCGTCCCTTAGTGTGATAATCAACTTTATATATATATGATATATATAATTGAATTCGATCTCTTTATCTTATCAGTATGTATCATGACACTGGAGACGTGGGAATGTAAACCCTAATCAGTGGTTATAACTCTGACGCCGGTCAGGTTAATAAAATAGTTCATATATATTTTGATTTGTTATATGATCTCGTCCTAACTTAGTCGTAGCGAAACATCTCATGCGCAATGTTGGGTTCAATTTGTTAGGTTTACCCCCCCCCCCCCAAAAAAAATAAATAAATGGGTCTCTTACAAAAAAGTAAAACGATAGGGTTTATTTGATGGCATAAATGAAGTAACCTTTTACTTAAGGTTAACTGCCAATTTTTGCCGAAGACACACTCTCCACCTCTGACTCAAATGGTAAATAAAAGAGGCCAAGTCATGATAATCGAACGAGAACGCTGGGAAATAATACATGACACTGTATTGATGTAGTGCTAAAAAAACTGACTCACTCAAATAAAAAATTTAACATCAACTTCTTAATACAATGAATGAAGAGCGTCTTGTGCGCAATGAAGAAATCATCCGCAGGCTATTGTCATGGCAAGCAATCGTTGACAGACGTGACTTTTGATTGAAATAGACCCATGCATTTCCTTGTTCATGGCTTCTCCGGAAAATGTGTGTGTGCCTTAGGGATAATGAAGAATCGACAAAATCCATCCCCTTCATTTAACATTAAAGACTCTTCAAGCCAGAACAAAGTTGACACAACTGAGAAGGATTGTTTAGTTTAAACTCGTGCGGATCCTTCTGATGAAAACCAAGCGCCTGGTGAACCCTCCAATAGGCATTGACGAAGAGAGTTCGATAACTTAAAATAACGCCAATCCCGTCTTATTGGCTGACTCTCAGACGTCAGCGTTTCACAGGAAATCAAGGGTCGATACGGCCGGAATATGAAGATCAGTTTGGAGCTTTGAATGATGTTAACCTTCATGAGTGACAGGACAGAGAAACGATACAAATCGAAATGAGATTTCAGTGAGGCATTGAAAAGTTCTGTAAACACAAACAGTGAACATCTTACATCTTTGACATTCATGTTATTAATTTTAATTAAAATAAGATGCTTCCATGTATTGGAGTCCAAAAACGACAAAAGTGAATGATATTTACTCATTATATAATCTGAAGGAGTACCTTAATAATATAACATATCCGTCTCAAGGACACATTTAAGTATCGAGTGCACTCCTCAAGTCCAGGTTTCGCTCTCGTTAAGGCGTGTGCTCGCAGCGTCTTTTGTCTATTGCACTGGGAAACAATCGAAGTCGTATTAATGCGATATTTACATTTCAGTAACGATGGCCGAACGCCCCTAGGACCCGAAGTACGGACATTTGGTCCTACATGTAGTTTCGATTGATCACGCCATTTCTTTTCGGTCACAAATTAATCTATTCTTTTTTAAACCACATCCTTTGTTTTATTGCGCAAACAGCGTGTGGTCACTGCTTTATTTGTAACTCTTGAGAACTAATCAGAGATGTCCAAATGTCACAATATTTGTTAGTAAATACGACATAATGTGCCGTTTGAATTATTCATTAATCAGCGCTGGTTTCTCAGTATTGGCTTATGCAGAAGGCCAACAGTTCGATAGAAACAACAGTTTATCTAACCGAAAAGACTCCACGGAAAGCTGAGTATTATTTGTTATCTTTTCAGAACTGTACCCGGTCACTGGAAGCCAGAGGCTCATAGATCGAAGCAGTGATGCATGGTCAGGGGAAATCCAGCTAGGTTTTACTTTGCCGTTCTATAGCCATAGCTATACGTCTATATACGTAAGTTTGGTGTGACTAGATATCTCACTATTTTCATCAACTTTTATACGGGTATGCCAACAGGTAAAATTTGCATGAAATTTAAACTACCTCCTTCAGCTTCTAATGATGAGCAATGTTCTTGATTTCAACCGACATGTTTCTCGAAGAAAGTTAAGAGCATTAAAGGCTAAACGAAAAAAAGTGCTGAAGACTACAAAATTGTATTTGAGTCTTTTAGCCTTATAGAGACTTTTCTTTGCCCACTGATTAAAACGTAGAACTGAAATTGCAGGCCTTTTAGATAGTATAGCGGCGCACGGCTTTCGATAGAATTCCACACCTATCGCGTCAACAAAGCGTGATGTTTATTGATTTCCTTTGGTCGGATAAGCTGTTATGATGTTTGCAAATTATTTGTCAATAATGTCATCTCAACTTCAGCTGTTCGCATCCCCAGCAATCTGTCATTGAATTATTGAGTTTTTGTGAAATATTACACTGTATTATGATGTATTACTTTGAACGGGACGGTCCTTTATACAGCGTCGAGTTGCTCAATGCTTAGTTTCCGTTTTTTTCTGCGATTAGCCAAAGACGCGGCGTGTGTAGTTGCTGCGTCTCTTTGAACAAGGCTCTTTTAAGTTTTCTATTCATTTTAAGTCCACATAAAATCAGACCTTTAGGCTTGTTTTAAAGAGTGGCTCTGTATGAGAAATGTAGGACTGGGGCAATGCTGCCAGGTGAAGTTAATAGCGCCTTGATAAGTTGAAGTTTTTCCGATATGTTAGTGCTTTTATCAAGACTTTACGAGACAGGATAATTTCGTGGTCCCTCAGAGGCTATAAAAATCGGGCTACATGGGTGAAGCTCAGTAGAAATGATAGCACTGACTTACCTAGTCTCTATTTTCCACTCCTCAGGGAGGGGGGGGGTGGCAGAGGAGGGGGAGAGGCACCTGACTGAACCAGCACATCTGAGGGGTGACAGGTGGTACATGTAATTTCTTTCACAGTTCTCATTTACCTGATGAAGTCAGACTGTCAGCAGACAATATATTGGCTGGCAAATCTCAGTTAATTTTTGTATAGCCATTGAAAATGAAACTTGAGTTGTTTATCGTATTGCATGTAAAAGTTAATGCTTAAATTACCTTCTGCAATAAAAGTTTATCGATAAGGTACAAGTACTGCATTTTAGATGTTATAAACTCAAGCAATAATTTTACAGTTCACACCCTCCACAGAATTTTGGGAAAACAAAAGCATGTTCTGTCAAGTACAAATATAATAAGAATGTATAAAAATCTACTAGAAGAAAAATAATATCAATGAAAGCTACGTGTACATGTATAACTGATAAAGGGAACATTTTTAAAAGACGTCTAAAATTATTCAGTGTTACGTTTTTTTCACTAAAGATACGTTTAATTTTATGATATCATCAGTAATGTTTAAAACTTATTTTCATCATGCTTTTACAGGTTTCGAGTAATGGCTATCTTGCCTTTAGTCCTGACGCCAAACCTTTCCAACATCCCAGAAATGGCACGTGGCCAAATAAGGGGTTCCCCTCCAAACCGGACCCGCCGCTGATAGCCCCATATTATGCTCAAGTCCAGTTAACCCCGTCAACTCCGCATGGGTCGAGAAATGTCGGAGAGGTGCTGTGGAAAATAGTGTCTGATTCCGCAGAGTTAGAGAGGTAAATTCAGCTGGTGATTTTGCCTTTTATCGTTGCCCGATGTAAAGAACGGAGGGGTGGGCGTGTACTAGAGAGTCCGCCCGACGTTATATCCGTACAGGTTAGGGTAAGCAAGACGTAAGTGGTTCAAAATCTGGGACAGGTTTAACAGTTTGCCTGTATAAATCAGTGGCCACTCTGTGTCACAGGGACTCTGTCATACATGTTTCTAGGTAAAATATAATTGGTGACGTTTTCTAGTAATGACTATCGTTAAACCAAATGAGGTGGCCCAAATATTACTTGAATTCTTCTTATCAAGAAAAAAATTGTGATTTTAACTAATGTTTGCTCTTCAAAAATTCACTGAAACAAACCCATTATCAAATTTTGGGCCAACAAAAAATTATCATTAGGATCATTAGCATTTGCTTGCAATTAAAGATGTTTCACGTTAAACATATTTTATTCCTATTTTAAAAACCGGCATTTATAGTTTGGTTTTTGAAAACATTGCCGACATGCTACTTTCTCGCCGTAAACTTTTTGTGAACGATGTACAGAGTTACAGATTAAATATTCTAACAGCCACTGAAAATATGCAAGACTGGCTTGCTGCATCATCGTCTTAAATTTACCCTTTAAAGGAAAAGCGCCATTTTCTATAATATAAAATTGTGTTCGTCTCTTTGGTACGCCAGGTTTACGGAAACAGTGCGGACATCTATGGTAGATGCGGACAACTTCGAGGCTACTCATGCATTTCTTGCCACGTGGATCAATGTTACTTGCAATGGATGTTTTAACGAGAACCTGGAACAATATCCAGTAAGTTATTATCCATTAGACACCAAATCAAGTATCCGGCGTCTCAACAAGTAGAGGTGTACCTAAAACCTACGCCTTGGGTCGTTATTGCATTTTGATTCAAAATATAGCTCAAAAGTTAAGATGTTTCTAATATGTCCTATCGAAATTTAAAATGGAGATTTAGATGCGCTCTCATCTCATATAAGTTATATTGAAATGCATTTTTTACAACTAGCGAAACACGTTCCAAGTTGCTGTAGTGACGGACGAGATCAGAACGTATGCCTTGGTCACGTACACGAGGTTGACGTGGACAGGGGGCTCACAGACAGGGGGAGACGCAGCAACAGGGACGGGAGCTAGGTATCCGCCAGCACAGGTACGTCATCACTGATGATATGTACGTCATCTTAGCTGTGGTGCGTTGATCCAAATGAAAATGACTGGCTAAATGTATTTAAAGGACCATGCATGTTGAAATCGATATTTCATTTGAATATTTCCTTTGAAAGGACAATGTTGAAGGGCTGTTCCTTGTGCCGTATCTTCTCTGGTTTCATGTGGATTTTGAATAAACAAGTTAAATTGTACAATAACATATTTGAATTATTCAAATTGGCATTCCTGGTAATTTATTGAATCTTAAAAGATTACCAAAGTAACTATTCGTAATGTTCTCACGCAACATGTACACGTGTTGGCCATACTAGAACTGGCATCTGTAAAATACATATAGGTATCTATGACTGGTAATAACTGACATTATTCGATTACTATAGGCATTTTTTAACGCCGGGAATGCTACCTACGGGTTTCATCTCCCATCATCGGGAACAAAGGATGACCAAATACTCCGTCTGCCACAACTAGGAGGAAGTGATGTAGATGGAAGATATGTATATGAGATATCTGATGACGTCATTAAACCAGGGGGATGTCTCAAAACCAGTAGTGAGTAATATTCGGATTCATATTATCTGTATATAAACATTTCTATACGTTGTAGCGAATGAGTCAGTTGTATAGATATTGTAGATGTAAATAGTTTTGTGCTTTAAAAAAGAATAATTTAACAAATTAAAAGTCATGTAAATTAACATATTGGGGATACATTAGCCTCTCAAGTAATTTTTTACTTTACGCTACAGGTAATGTAATACGCCTAGTGCTGAGTCCTTCTTTTGGCGACATGTTTGGTGGAAATGTTGTCGAGTTCACAGGCCCTTGCTTCTCTCCGTCTGATCACATCACGTGCACGTTTAATGACGTCGAAGTAAGCGCGACGTACATTAACAGACTCAGAGCACAGTGTGTAGTTCCAAATCTCACCGTCAGAGGGCAAGTGCAGCTGACAGTGTCACTAAATAGTGGACATAAATATTCCACAACGTATACCATCGGTATGTCACTATTATAATACCACATTAAGTTTCAGTAGATTTTTTCACTATTCCTATTTGAAGTTGTTCATAAAGCATTTTCCTTCAGTAACTCGAATGTTGCGAGACTTATTAATCATTTAATCTATAGCGGGATCTACAATGTACTTTTAAAATGCATAATACGCTTTAAGAAGACAGAAAATCTGCATGTGATACATTCGAATTGAAGCCTTGCGGGGGTACTTTACATTTAATACAAATTTACAGCGTTAACATTTTTAAGCAATTAGAACATTTTTTCATAGCTATAATTAGCACTCGGGCTAAAATAGCATTTTCAAATGTCAACATTTTTGCATAACTATATTTTATTATCTCATTTAGCTAACCCCGGAACTCTCCCGCGAGGTGTCCAGTTACTGAACGCCACTGCCTGGGGTGTTTATAACCCCGAGCGTCTAGAGCTGACGTGGGACACCACCCTGCTAGATCCCGCTCGAGACCCAAGTGCCAAGGTCAACGTCGAACTTCATGGGTACAGGGAACAAACAGCAAAAGTGGGTACCAGATATGATAATCGAAATTCAATTTGGCATTATGATTTACCTGGAGAAAGTAATTTTGTTAAGATTTTTGGTCATCTCAGTATTTAACTTTTTTATATTTTGAATACTGTATATGATGCAATCTACAGCTAGGTTATGGCACCGCTCTTTTTATATAGGCCTACAGTATGCGGTATATAAACATGTAAGAGATGAGACCGTAAAGTTCGTATAGAATAGTTCGTATTTACCCCCACCCACCTCAATTTTTGCTGGATATGTTAGCATTTATGATTTATTTTTGCGATTAATTTTATGATAATGATCATAATATATTTTTTTTGTAACAAATATTTTACAAAACAGTAACCTAAAAGCGATATATATATATATATATATATATATATATATATATATATATATATATATATATATATATAATAGGGGAGACCGGGGCTAGTTAGACCCCGGGGTAAGTTGATCACATCATTTAGTAAAGTGACCGTATCCAATAGTGCTAAGGAAGCAGGCCCGTAGCCAGCAATTTCAAAAGGGGGGGTTCTTTTTCTGAAAAAGTGGACCTTTTACCATAAAAACTTCTTGTACCTAGATCAAATTTTACCCAGAGTGGACCTTTTCCAAGCAAAAGGGGCAGTTCTTTCGAACCCCCCGAACCCCCCGAACCCCCCCTGGCTACGGGCCTGGGAAGCGTCGGTCGCAAAGAAGTTTTATTTAGGCAGTTTGTCCAAGAGAGCGTTCACATCAAGAAGAGCCGAGGTATATCAAGGCCGAGACCTAAATATGGCGGACCTACATGAAAGGAAGACCGCATAATCCAATGACATTCACCGTGACGGGGCAAGTTGGTCCCCCTGACGTCAACTACGTTTTTTGTCAAATTGTGAGCCATCTGGCATCATATTTGAAAAATAATGACGTTGCATACGTAGCTTAGTTCATGGGGCTTACTTTGAATCCGGTTTTGTTACTCTAACTCATTCCTAGTTGACTCTACAAGGCCAAAAGTGTCTAACTGGGCCAACTGGCCCCGGTCTCCCCTACGTATCGGTAACGTATGCTCCATGTGAATAGCAGTTATTAAAAACATAGGTAATGTATGTATCGGTAGATATTAAACTCTGTATGACAATCTAACAAAGAGGAATTTCCGACGTAAAAACAAACGTGCTTGCATATTATTAAGTTAAAACTTACACTCAATAACTCCCTATCCTTTTACTCGTTTGATTCCGTTTTAATTATTATCTGCAGTTTGTGAAAGTGTAAGTCATTTACTTTACAACATCAATTTATACGGCTACTAGTTGCCTTAATATTTTCCCTGTGAACCTACGAAGAGGAACTGTAGTGGCCAACAAGATTTTTAACACTGATTTTTTTTTACTTCTGAATATTTTGACTGTTGTGCTTATTATTTTTCTCTCTCGGCTTTCTCCCTTACATTCGTTAAAGAGAGAGAGAGAGAGAGAGAGAGAGAGAGAGTATTCTAATTAAATTCATCCTTGTCGAACACAAATAAAAAGAAATGCTGTCAAAATTTTGATGGTTTGCCAATATTCATTTTCAACAGTTTTTTACCTATATATCATAATTATGACGAAATATCGCGTGTGATTTTCGCCCAAAAGCCTGCAGCGCATCTCAGAGGCGCGTTTACTAATTATTTTTCACTCGTGGAAAGATTGTGTTAGTGCAGAAAATTTCTTTCTCATCAGATGACAACTGCAAACTTTGATAATATTTTTTGAATCACCGTTAAGATCATCATCATTACAAATCTCTGATATAAACATCACTTCCGGACAGTCATATATTACTTCAAGGAACCTAATTTGCATATAAGAGAAAAAATGCATTTTTTTCATTTTTTTCAAAAAGTAATGACCTCTTTTGCTCACAAATCGGGACACCTTTGATCCACATGCATTTTTTGTAAATAATGTAATTAGAAATAAGTTTTATATCATAGACGTGTATCACGTTTTCACTCCACAGCCATAATACTCAACGATAGCTGCATGGGTATAAAAGTAGGTCAATTGCCTGTATAAAATTGCCATACGATTATTGATTTTTTTTAGTGTGGACCGTTTTAGGGGGGAGACAGAAGTGGGAGATGTATCAAGATACCAGGAAAATATTTTGGTTGCATAGGGTTACGGAAAGACAGATAATGTTGCAAATTTTAAAAGAAAAGAGTAAAACTAGCCCAATCTCCAGCTTCACCATGTAGAACTTTATAGATGCCACGGTCCCTCTCTATTTCATCTGTCTCTCCCTGAAAAAATTCTGACCGCGTTAACTGTTCAGCTCCCGGGAAGCACGAAGCGTCCAGGGTGGTGGCAGACGCTGATGCTCTGTAGACGACGCATTGCATTTACACAAGGGGGTAAAGGTTTTCCAGGGATTATTTTATATTTAATTAAGGTAACGAATTACAAAATAAAGGAAATAAAATTGTCTTACTTAAATATATATTGACTAAGTGGAATTAAAGACACTGACATTTCTTCTCAAAATTGGCAGAATAAAAAAAAAAAAAAAAACGCAAAAGGAGATCACCTAACTCCCCTAAGAATATGTCCTATCCTTGAACTAGCTTTCAGTTTGTATGGTATCAATAGAAAGGGGGCGTATTGGTGTGTGTGTGGGGGGGGGGGGGGGGGGGGAATTTTTAAAAAAA